ACAGTGACGTTTGCAAACAAAACAAACTTACTTTTGTAACACATTTTTTTTCCTGGAAATACTAATGTGTTGAAGTTTATTTTGTCCGTGAATTTGCATTATAATTTCTGTTTGTTTCTTTTAGTTATGCTAGTAAGCAATATATCACCTTTTTCTCCTGGATTATGCAGAATTCTTTGAGATATGGCGTATAAACCGAAGAACATCCTGATTACTGGAGCTGCTGGCTTCATTGCATCCCATGTTTGCAACCGGCTTATCCGGAACTACCCTGAGTACAAGATTGTGGTCCTTGACAAGCTTGATTACTGTTCAAATTTGAAGAACCTTCATCCCTCAAGGTCTTCATCCAACTTTAAGTTTATCAAGGGAGACATTGGCAGTGCTGACCTTGTCAACTTCATCCTTCTCACTGAGTCCATTGATACAATAATGCACTTTGCAGCCCAGACCCATGTCGACAATTCTTTTGGTAACAGCTTTGAGTTCACCAAAAACAACATCTATGGTACGCATGTTCTTCTAGAAGCATGCAAAGTCACTGGTCAAATCAAAAGATTCATTCATATAAGCACAGATGAAGTCTATGGAGAGACAGATGAAGATGCTGTGGTGGGAAATCATGAGGCTTCTCAGCTTCTTCCGACAAACCCCTACTCTGCAACTAAAGCTGGAGCAGAGATGCTTGTTATGGCATATGGGCGTTCATATGGATTGCCTGTCATAACTACCAGAGGGAACAATGTTTATGGCCCCAATCAGTTCCCTGAAAAGATGATTCCAAAATTCATTCTCTTGGCTATGAAAGGGAAGCCTCTTCCAATTCATGGTGATGGATCAAATGTCAGGAGTTACCTCTATTGTGAGGACGTAGCAGAGGCATTTGAAGTCATTCTGCACAAGGGTGAGGTAGGCCATGTGTACAACATTGGGACAAAGAAAGAGAGGAGGGTGGTTGATGTGGCTAAGGAAATTTGCCAACTCTTCTCTTTGAACCCAGATACTCAAATAAAGTTTGTCAAAAACAGGCCGTTTAATGATCAAAGATATTTCTTGGATGACCAGAAGCTGAAAAACTTGGGATGGTCTGAAAGGACTTCGTGGGAGGAGGGTTTGAGGAAGACGATGGACTGGTATGTCAAGAATCCCGAATGGTGGGGAGATGTTTCTGGGGCACTGCTTCCTCATCCAAAAATGCTCATGGTTCCTGGAATTGAAAGAAAATTTGATGGTACTGATACTGGCGCTTCTGCCTTCTCTTTGTCAGCAAGTGATTCTAGGGAGAGCCACATGGTTGTTCCACCTCCAAAGAACAATCCATATACTCAGAAGCCATCTTTGAAGTTTTTGATTTATGGTAAAATGGGGTGGATTGGAGGCCTTCTTGGGAAGATTTGTGAGAAGCAGGGGATACCCTATGAGTATGGACGAGGGCGTCTTCAGGAACGGTCACAGCTCTTGGCTGATATTCAGAGCGTTAAACCAACCCATGTTTTCAATGCTGCTGGAGTGACTGGGAGGCCCAACGTGGATTGGTGTGAATCTCATAAACCAGAAACAATTCGGACCAATGTTGTCGGTACATTAACCTTGGCTGATGTCTGCAGAGATCACAACCTCCTGATGATCAATTATGCTACTGGTTGTATCTTCGAGTATGATGCTGCCCATCCATCAAGATCAGGAATCGGGTTCAAAGAGGAAGACACACCCAATTTCACTGGCTCATTTTATTCCAAAACCAAGGCCATGGTATCATTCTCAACTGTCCATATCTGTTACTGTTACTGTTACAATTTTGAAAAGAAACTTCAGACTATCTGCCAACTGATATCTCTCTTTCCCATTTTTGTGGCAGGTTGAAGAGCTTTTGAAGGAATATGACAATGTTTGCACTCTTAGAGTCCGGATGCCAATATCATCCGATCTCAGCAATCCACGCAACTTCATCACGAAGATCTCACGGTACGACAAAGTGGTTGACATTCCAAACAGCATGACCATCTTGGATGAGCTTCTACCCATTTCAGTTGAGATGGCCAAGAGGAACTTGAGGGGCTTATGGAACTTCACAAACCCCGGCGTTGTGAGTCACAATGAGATTCTGGAGATGTACAAGAAGTACATTGACCCCAGTTTCAAGTGGACTAACTTTACACTTGAAGAACAAGCCAAGGTTATTGTTGCACCAAGAAGTAACAATGAGATGGATGCATCTAAGATGAAGAAAGAGTTCCCTGAATTGCTTCCAATCAAGGAATCACTGATTAAATACGTCTTTGAACCGAACAAGAAGGCATTTTCTGGCTGAGCAGCAAATCAAGTGTTTCATGAAGTAGACCTCAATACCAATTCATGCATATTTTATTTATTTATTTTGTTCTGGGAAATAGGGATTTAGTTATTTTCATGGGGTGATTATTGTCATGATCAGTGGCGGTTCTAGGATTCAAAAGCCGACCGGGCAAAACTTATATGCTAAACTCGACGGTAGGAGTGAATTTCATTTATAAACATAAAAAGATACACATAGTGAGGGTGATGTAGTGAGCCTTACCCTCAAATGCATCTATATCTACAAATAGAAAAACTAATTTCTGAAATTTCTGAAATAACTGTCTTTGTGCGAGACAAAAAATAATTATAGACAGGCTTGGGGTTTGTGAGACAAAAAAATTAATAATCATAGTGTAGGGAATAATCATGATCCATCTGTCTCATCCTATTGGTTCAATTTGTTTCTGTAATAGCTATAAGTTTGTTTCACAAGTTGGTACTACTGTAGGTTCTAGTTTGGATAAGGAGCTTTGGAATTGCTTCAGAATATTTAAATTTTAAAAGGTCTTTTGTAAGTTGTGGCATATTGTAATTTCGGATATGTAATAAAGAACATGTAATTTTGAATAATTTATTCATACAAGTTTATCTATTTCTATCTATGGACCATTAAAATATATGATGTATGTATCAAAACAAAAGAAGATTTTATCTCATTTAAATATGTTATGTGGGACTATCAGATTAACTATGAATTACATTCGAACTTACTTTGAAAGCTTGATTGATACAAAATTTCTGCCTTGGCACACCGTATTTAGGGTTTGTGAAGAGAAAATGAGAGTGTAGTAGGTTTCTTAGATTGAAAGAGAAGAGTAATCTAGCAATAGGGTGTGTAGATGTGCGTATAGATGTACTAGGGTTAAGTATTAAGTTGGATAACCTTTTTTGCCTTTTTACACAATAATAAAATTTAAGAGTTTAATGATTGAAGTATTGAGGTGAACAACGAAAAGTGTGGGGTTTAAATAGAAAAACTCTTTTTTTTTCCCTCAATTCAAAACAACGTTATTTTGGTCAGGGGTTCTAAAAAAAAATATAATAATACAAGTGCGCACTGTGCACAGCGAACATCACAAAAAAGGAGAGGGTTCAAAAAGAGGACTTTTGTCGAACAAGTGGCGTGCACAATTGCCTAAGCGAAGGGGCAACATTCCGGCACCTGCAACACTTGCTTTGGCGAGGGGAGGTGCAAACTGCACCTCCTTGCAACTCTGTAGGTCCGCCTCTGTGGCTACTACCTCTCCTTGTTTTTCTCATTGTTTACACTGCCATCCACACATATATATGGGTTAGGATCGAAGGACACACCAAAAACCACAGATTTTGACACACTTTCTCAACCATTAGATGATGAGTAATCCAAAGATTAGAAATGAATCTGGCATTATTATTTTTATTTTAAAAATAGTATTCATGTTGTAAAGAAAGTGGTGGAGTCCACATAAACAAAAGAAGAAAATAATATTCAAAAAACTTAATGATGATGTTGGGTAATGAAGTCCATGGGAAGCCATCCAATTTGTCTATAAATAGGCTTGCTCATTCAGTTGTAGAACACATCGATCCAAAGAGAAAATAGAGAGACAAAAATTTGAGACTGTGAGAGCTTTATCTTAGAAAAGTTATATCAGAGGAAGAAAGTTCTGTCAGTGTAAAAACCACAAGAGCAAATACAATTCTACTCCCAATATTCAGTGGTACTTTTCATACTCTGATTATTATTTTTATAACACGTTATCAGCACGATAGTCTCTCCTCTTTACTTCTAAATTTTCCCTACGCAACACTATGTGGTTATTTCTCTGTCTCCTCTCTGTCATATGTCTCCTCTCACTTTACTACTACGACAACATGCAAACTTTCTTTTTCGTATTCTCACAATTTTTATGTTGTTTCATCTATGTTTGTTTAATTTATTTTTTAGTACTGTAATTTGGAATGGTGCAGTTTTATACCCCATCTTGTTATTTTATGGTGGTGTAATTTGATTACCCATCACGTTGTAACACATATTATTGTAATAAAAATGATGGTGTAATCTTAAAACCAATCTTATTATATCTTGAATAGTGGCGCAGTTATATTGCCCACAATATATAATATGTTATATACTTCATATATATTAGGTGGTGGTTTTATCCCTGCATTTACTTTATTTACTGTATGGTGTAGGTTTATTACCTATACAACAGTATTTAATTAAAAGTGTGGCGCGGGTTTATCGTCCACACAACAGCCTTTAGCATTTACTTTATTTACTGTATGGTGTAGGTTTATTATCCATACAATAATATTTATTTAAAAGTGTGGCGCGGGATTATCGTCCACACAATTGCCTTTACTTTTTATTTATAAGTATGGACTAGATTAGTGCCCATACCAGCACATTTATTTTATTGCACATTTACTTTTATTTAAAGTATGGTGCAGAATTAACGTCCATACAACAAATAATTTACTTTATGAATTTACTTTATCGCACGTTTACTTTTATTTAAAGTGTGGTGCAGGTTTATTGTCTATACCAGCAAATTTATTTATAGCATTTTATTTTTATCATCAGTTAGTACATGAATAATGAGGGCTTGAAGTTCCTCAAACAATTAAAGGGCCTGAAGTTCCTATTAAGAAATGGCTTAATGTCCCAAATCCTGAGCATGAAGTTTCGGGTAAAAAGAAAGAGTTTGATCATACAGGGGGGTCACGTCCTTTCCTAAAACATATGGAAGCTGCTAGAGAGGTTTATAATTTTTGGTCACTTTAAATCTTTATTTATTTATTATATTGTAATAATTTCAAGTATTTCTCATTTTCTTTTTGTTGGGAAAATGTAGAAGGGTGAAAATCCTACATACATTAGCAATTGGAACAACATGCATATTCTTAAGGGTAAGAGCATGTGGATCAATGAGGCTGCTGAAATTAAAGGGGTAAGGAATGCATAAACCTGCTGACAATTAACTATTGACTTGCATAATCTGCAATCCAAAAAATCAGCTGATTGGTCATGCAAGTTTTTGACGACCCATTATTTTAGATGCTAATTGTGTACTTTGGTTTTAGCATCATATAAAGGCTTTATCCATTACAAATAGAACTAATTAATTAGAAACACAATGAAGATATGTGTCTGAGTTTTCTAAATTTTCCATGATCTTATATATTGACGACCAAAAAAAGGGCATGCTAAGATTGTTTTGAAACAGAGCTGCTGCAGTTGTACTTCTATTCCTCTTTGGAGGCCCAATTCCAAACACCTATAAAACAAATTCAGTTCTAATAACCCGTTGTGCTCTTAGAAGTTAAAATTTAGGCCCAATTATAAGGGGACCATGTTGCTGGGCAAATATTTATAATCCCTGTTTTTGGAAGTTTCTTGTTTGTATTGTTGTTGCTTTCAGGAGATGCAGAAAAAGATCTTATAAGATCTGTGAGTATTTTCAAACTTTCTGCAATCTGCATATTCAAAGAGATCTATTCCATTTTTTATATGCCTTTTCCTTTTATTATTTTCTTCAAGTTGAATTTTTTTTGTTTTTGTTTTGTGACTGTTTGATTAGGATAATTGGCATTGCTAGTTTATGAACACAATTGGTCGTACTGGCATCCCATTTACTTCATTATTTTTATGCATTTATATATATATATATATATATATATATATTGACATCTTTATTTTGTTTCTTTTTGTAGAAGAAGATGAATGAAGAGTATGAGAAGGCCAAGCAACAAGTGGCAGAGAGTTCAGGAACTCCACTAGATCAAGTCACACTCCCTATCCCACAACAATTAGAGATCATGACTGTAGAACTTGGGGTTGCAAAGGGCAAGAGGATTCGAGGCTTGGGCTCTAGTCTCCGAGTGGAGAGTTCGCATAGTGGTGGAGTTGCCTCTTCTTTTGCTACACAGCAAAAGGTTGAGGAACTTCAAGGCACAGTTGGTGAGTTGAAAGGCACAGTAAGTGAGCTTCAGGGCACAGTGGGTAAACTTTTGGATGTCATTGAGTGGATGCGAACCCATGATGGTCCTCTACCTTCACATATAGGTGTTCCGTCCTCGCATGTTGGTGATTCTCCTTGTGATGATGATCAAGGTAATAGTGGTGGTTCACGTAATGTTTATGAGGATCTTAATGATATTGGAAATAGTCATTAGGTTGTGTGTACATACTTGATGGTTTTTGTATCTAGCCTAACTTGGGGGTTCTAGGGGCTTTGTATCTAGCTACTTGATGGTTTTTTTTATGTAGCATACCTTGGGGGTTTTGGTATCTAGCATACATTGATGTGTGCTTAAACTAGTATCTTTTGAATAGTAATTATGCTATTCCTATTAATTTCATCTATTTACTGTTTTTCAAAAACTTTCTAAATAATATTCTGTTACAAAGCTTGAAATATAAATAATTTTAAAAAAAAAAAAATCAATATACTTTTTGGCGACGAATTAGATTTCATCGCTCAATCTGGCAATACCAATATCTATAGTTTTGGCGACCAATCTGTTTCGTCGCCCATTCTGAAAAAACCAAAACGAACTAGCATATGCGACAAATAAACAAACCTCTTTCACGACCAAATATTCGTCGCCGAAATATTCAGGCGACCAAACATTTATTCAATCGCCAAATAATTCCATGTTCGCGCGAATTTTTGGTATTTTGGCGGCAACACTCTCTCTATATGCGACCAACTTTGAGCTGTTTAGCGACAAAAAGTTTGGTCGCTAAAATATTTTAACGACGAAATTAGGTTTCGTCGCATGGTACTTTTAGCCACGAGCTTTGAACGACGACCTTCGCGACCAAAAATATTCGTCGCTAATTACCTTTGGCGACGAAATTTGGTGTTATAGCAACCATCTTGTTTCGTCGCTAAAAGGGATTTTCCTTGTAGTGTAGTTTTCTCAAGCATATCCTCCTCAAAGATATTTTCACCACATAATTTCATCAGGTAGGTGATTCTGTGCATTGCTGAGTTGTAATCAGGCATTGACTTGAAATCTTGGAATCTCAAGTGTGTCCACTCATATCTGGCTCTTGGGAGGGTCACCGTCTTCTGGTGATTGTATCTTTCGCATAAGGCTTTCCACATAACCAATGGTTCATTAACAACCATGTATTCACTTTTCAGCGCTTCGTGAATGTGATGGCAAAGAAAAATCATAGCCTTTGCGTTTTCTTCAGGTGATGCATCACTTCCATCTACAATTGTTTATCTAAGGCCATTAGCTCGCAGATGGATCTTGGCATCCAGGATCCATGATAGATAGTTGTTCCCAGAAATGTCCAAGATAGCAAATTCCAGTTTTGCCAAGTTTGCCATCTTCAAAGAAAATGAGATGCATCAGAATTTGCAATAATATTCAGGCTTAATATATTTTTGAACTTCAGGCCAAAAATATCTTGCTGAGAACAGAAAAAAGAAAGAGTTTGATCATACAGGGGGGTCACGTCCTTTCCTAAAACATATTAAATCTATTATTTAATTTCTAAAAAGAAAATTTTAAAAAATTAATTTAACCTAAACATCCTAATTTTATATTTAATTTTTTGTAAAAGCCCTCTCCCGACGAAATTGCGTCGGCACAAGTCTCTGACACCTCTCCCGACGAAATTTC